TTTATCATTAAATTTTCTACTGTACTTGAGACTGCCTGTGACAGTGCCTCTAATAGTGCGTAACCGGTGGTATCTGTAGTAACCGGAGAACAAAGCTCGGTGTTATTTTGGTTGACATCATAAACGAAGTCGCAACCTGGCTTTTATCTTCGGTGATTTCCTTTGGCCTTTTTATGGCCTCCAGAGATCGACCGGGTGTACATGACAGAAGGCTTTTTTATATGGGAAGCTCCCTTAATCACTAAAGCTGCTTCTTCTTCTTAGCCACAAGCGCTTGTTCCTCTTCCGTCCATCTGGCTTTCTTTGGCTCTATCGTCGCCATCCTGCTATCATGCCACTCTTTGTGTTGCCTTTGTTCGTGCACTCCACGACCTACTACGGTATTAAATACTTTATTACACTCGGGATAGCGACAAGAATGATTTCCTGTGTCAGTCAGTATGGAAGGACCTGCGGGCCCCCCGAGTTTGAATTTGTCATCCGAGGCTTTGCATTATTACTAGAACCGACTGATAATAGGAACGAGTGGGTTGGCAGCCCACAGGTCCATAGGCACAGAGGTGGCTTAGTTTCCCCCCGAAGGGGTACTCACGGTGGGACCCACGAGGAGGAAGGCCACTTGCTAGCTGAGGTCCCGAAGAACCACAACCACTCCCACCCTTAAGAAAGTCATAGTTACTCCCGCAGTTTACCCGCGCTTGCTTGAATTTCTTCACGTTGACATTCAGAGCACTGGGCAGAAATCACATTGCGTCAACACCCGCTAGGGCCATCGCAATGCTTTGTTTTAATTAGACAGTCGGATTCCCTAGTCCGTGCCAGTTCTGAGCTGACCGTTTGAATGGCGGCCGAAGAGTACGACTGACCGACCGAAGCCGGCACAGAAACCTCGCAGCAAGAAAGATCCGCGGAGGGCCTAGACACGGGACCGAGCTCGGATCTAAGTCACAAGGATTTTTTCACCTTGCCCAGGCCCGGCACATCGGCCTACGCCCGCTTCCCAACCAAGCCCGGCACGCCCCGATCCTCAGAGCCAATCTTATCCGAAGTTACGGATCCAATTTGCCGACTTCCTTCCACTTACCTACATTTATCTATCGACTAGAGGCTCTTCACCTTGGAGACCTGCTGCGGATATGGGTACAAACCGGCGCGACACCTACGTGGCCCTCTCCTGGATTTTCAAGGTCCGAGGGGAAGATACGGACACCGCCGCAACAGCGGTGCTCTTCGCGTTCCAAACCCTATCTCCCTTCTAGAGGATTCCAGGGAACTCGAACGCTCATACAGAAAAGAAAACTCTTCCCGTATTTCCCGACGGCGTCTCCAGGTCATTTTGGGTTACCCCGACGAACTCTCTTGCGAGGGCCCGACTTGTAAACGGTTCCGCTGCCGGTTTCCGGAATAGGAACCGATTCCCTTTCGCCGAGTGGGTGTGAAATTTTATTCAAAATAAAATGCACCGACATCAACATAGGATTTCTCCTGGGGCTTAGGATCGACTGAGTCGTGTGCAACGGCTGTTCACACGAAACCCTCTCCACGTCAGTCCTTCTAGGGCCTCGCTGGAGTATTTGCTACTACCACCAAGATCTGCACCGATGGCGGCTCCAGGCAGGCTTACGCCCCAAACCCTTCTGCGCGCACCACCACCGCGACCCCCTACTCCACCAGGCGTCAAAACAAACTATTATGAACGTTTCTCATGCCTTGGCGGCCGAGTATAGGCACGACGCTCAGCGCCATCCATTTTCAGGGCTAGTTGCTTCGGCAGGTGAGTTGTTACACACACTCCTTAGCGGATTCCAACTTCCATGGCCACCGTCCTGCTGTCTTAAGCACCCACCTTTCATTCATGGTATCCCATTAGCGTCGTTTAGGCGCCTTAACTCGGCGTTTGGTTCATCCCACAGCGCCAGTTCTGCTTACCAAAATGGCCCACTGATCCAAACTCTGATCCAAATCTCTAGCTTCACTATTCAAGCAAGCCAGAGATCTCACCCATTTAAAGTTTGAGAATAGGTTGAGGTCGTTTCGGCCCCAAGGCTCTAATCATTCGCTTTACCGGATGAGACTCGCTCATCGAATGCCAGCTATCCTGAGGGAAACTTCGGAGGGAACCAGCTACTAGATGGTTCGATTAGTCTTTCGCCCCTATACCCAGTTCCGACGATCGATTTGCACGTCAGAATCGCTACGGTCCTCCATCAGGGTTTCCCCTGACTTCGACCTGACCGGGCATAGTTCACCATCTTTTCGGGTCCTAGCGTGTACGCTCTGAGTGCGTCTCTTCTCGCAATGAGAGTGAGACGCCTCGGGATTGCAAGCACGCATCCGTGGATGCGGTCCTGTCATCCCTCAGTTTACTTAAGCAACCTTTACGTTCATTGCGCCTTTAGGTTTTGTATTTCCCAATGACTCTCGCACATGCTAGACTCCTTGGTCCGTGTTTCAAGACGGGTCCTGAAAGTACCCAAAGCAATAGCATCGCTGACCGGTAATAGAGTCCGTTCGAGAACACGGTAGCTAACAGCTCGAGGCGGCATCGATGCCGGACTAGGTCCGACGGCCAATAACCGTCCGTGCTTGCAACCGGCCAAACGCTTAAAAGAACCCTATACCATATCATTTATACCGTCTGGCAGTCGGCCGGAGCACGCGGGGTCTGGCGCGAATAAATTCGTGACAGGCTACCGCCGCGGTCGTAGATCGACACCAAACAGGTCGCGACGTCCTACTGAGAGAGAAGTGCATGCCAACGCCGCCTGACACATAAACCAACGGCGTATCGCGGACGAAAACCCGGTCAATCGCACGCCACTAAATGGAAGACAACGATAACATTGAATCTCTCCTTTCGATCTTTCGGGTTTCTCAGGTTTACCCCTGAACGGTTTCACGTACTCTTGAACTCTCTCTTCAAAGTTCTTTTGAACTTTCCCTCACGGTACTTGTTCGCTATCGGTCTCGTGGTCATATTTAGCCTTAGATGGAGTTTACCACCCACTTAGAGCTGCACTCTCAAGCAACTCGACTCTGAGGAGAGATCCTCTCGATACGCGCAACGGTCGCTACGGGCCTGGCACCCTCTATGGGTAAATGGCCCCATTCAAGATAGACTTGAACTCGCCGCAACGCACCGAGATAATCGGATCCTCCCTAACACTACATTTCCCAGCGTCCGTCTCCGGCCGCGGGATTTAGTGCTGGGCTCTTTCCTGTTCGCTCGCCGCTACTAAGGGAATCCTAGTTAGTTTCTTTTCCACCGCTTAGTAATAAGCTTAAATTCAGCGGGTAATCTCATCTGCTCTGAGGTCGTATTATGATTATGATGTGCTTGCAAACGTTAGTAAGCAAGCGCACACAAAACGACGAGTAAACCTTTGAATCGTCCAAATTTGCCGGAACGAAACCGCATTTCGAAGAGTTCGGGTTTCCGGTTATTGGGAGGGTCGCAAGAATATAAAATCTCTAGGACACACAACCCGCCGTAATCCCACAGAACGTCAACGAACGGAAATGTCCGATGTTGCAAAGTGGACTGGCTCACACGTTGAGTGAATTAATAAGAGCACGCATATACGCGAAACTCCATCATTCGCCGGCAAGCCGTTTAAAGCAAGCGGCAGTCTGGTAATGTTATACGACTCTCAGCCAGAGGTGGTCCGGGAACAGTATCCGAGGACCGCAATGTGCGTTTCGAAATGTCAATGTTCATGTATCCTGCAGTTCACATGTCGACGCGCAATTAGCTGCGTTCTTCATCGACCCACGAGCCAAGTGATCCACCGTTCAGGGTGATTTTATATATATTTATACATGTTTCGATCGTATTCCCTCGAAATCGTTTAAGATAACTCGGGCGATTCTGAAACTAGTATGATTATTATGGTTACAATTAGTACACCGTAAAGCTTTCGCGTTTCGGTCCGAGATACAAAATCTCGTTTCAAAATTGAAATATGAATATTTCACTGTGTGTGAGATTGAAAAATCTGCTTTCGCTGATTTTTCATTTTCTTAAAACAACGCAATGAAGAGAATGTTAAAATTCGCACAATTTGAATAAAATGTGCAGAGTATATAGAATACTAACGCAAGCGTTTACTACAATCGACTTTAAAACACTAGACTTTCATCTAGCGCCCAAAGAATTGATTGAGCTATGCGTTTAAAGTATAATATTCAAAAAGAACGCCATTTTCACAACGAACTTCGTCATTCGCTCAGGCATCTGGCGATACCGAGCAGATATACATGGCAGTGCTCTCACACAATGCATAAGAGCGCTAAGCGGTTGTAAACTGCGTCACGCTGGTTTTGCACACTGCGCAATATTTTGCGACTAGCTCCGGTCAAACGTTAATGAAACGAATGATCATTGCCAGAGGCTTTTGCCCACAGTATATCATACCATGGGAGCGCACAACATTTAGTCTGCAACATTATATTGCGACATATAGCACACGCTTCATTCACTTAATAGTAAATGTACGTTAATGATCCTTCCGCAGGTTTACCTACGGAAACCTTGTTACGACTTTACTTCCTCTAAATAATCAAGTTCGGTTATTTTCCCAGCAACATCGGCAATGTCGAAACGCTGCCGCGCACCAGTCCGAAGACCTCACTAAATAATTCAATCGGTAGTAGCGACGGGCGGTGTGTACAAAGGGCAGGGACATAATCAACGCAAGCTTATGACTCGCGCTTACTAGGAATTCCTCGTTCATGGGGAAGAATTGCAAGCCCCAATCCCTAGCACAAGAGGCTTCAACAGATTACCCGGATCTTTCGGCCAAGGAAAACCTGCTGATCTCTTCAGTGTAGCGCGCGTGCGGCCCAGAACATCTAAGGGCATCACAGACCTGTTATTGCTCAATTTCGTGCGACTAAATGCCCTGTCCCTCTAAGAAGATATATTTGTACGCCGGTAGTGAGAACCACAACCAACAACGACCGAAGCCGAAGCGGAGGGTCTTTGCGATACCAGAAAGTACGTCTATTTAGCAGGCTAGAGTCTCGTTCGTTATCAGAATTAACCAGACAAATCACTCCACCAACTAAGAACGGCCATGCACCACCACCCACCGAATCAAGAAAGAGCTCTCAATCTGTCAATCCTTCCGGTGTCTGGACCTGGTAAAGTTTCCCGTGTTGAGTCAAATTAAGCCGCAGGCTCCACTCCTTGTAGTGCCCTTCCATCAATTCCTTTAAGTTTTCAGCTTTGCAACCATACTTCCCCCGGAACCCAAAAGCTTTGGTTTCCCGGAAGCTGCCGCCGAGTCATCGGAGGAACTTCGGCGGATCGCTAGCTGGCATCGTTTATGGTTAGAACTAGGGCGGTATCTGATCGCCTTCGAACCTCTAACTTTCGTTCTTGATTTATGAAAACACATTTGGCAAATGCTTTCGCTTCTGTCCGTCTAGCGACGATCCAAGAATTTCACCTCTAACGTCGCAATACGAATGCCCCCAGTTGTCCCTATTAATCATTACCTCGGAATTCCGAAAACCAACAAAATAGAACCGAGGTCCTATTCCATTATTCCATGCACACAATATTCAGGCGAATGAGCCTGCTTTAAGCACTCTAATTTGTTCAAAGTAAACGTACCGGCCCACCTCGACACTCGGTGAAGAGCACCTTGGTAGGATTTTGAGTTGGGCCGTCTTTTTACGGGCTAAGCCCACCGGTAGGACGTCCCACAGACATGCCTGTTGAACACCGCGAGCGGTGAACCGACAGTGTGGGACACAGATTCAACTACGAGCTTTTTAACCGCAACAACTTTAATATACGCTATTAGAGCTGGAATTACCGCGGCTGCTGGCACCAGACTGGCTCTCTAATAGATCCTCGTTAAAGGATTTGAAGTGTACTCATTCCGATTACGGGGCCTCGGATGAGTCCCGTATCGTTATTTTTCGTCACTACCTCCCCGTGCCGGGAGTGGGTAATTTGCGCGCCTGCTGCCTTCCTTGGATGTGGTAGCCGTTTCTCAGGCTCCCTCTCCGGAATCAAACCCTGATTCCCCGTTACCCGTAACAACCATGGTAGTCGCAGAAACTACCATCGACAGTTGATAAGGCAGACATTTGAAAGATGCGTCGCCGGTACTAAACCGTGCGATCGGCACAAACTTATTCAGAGTCACCAAGTCAAACGGTGAGCAAGGCAAGCCCGCCACCGATTGGTTTTGATCTAATAAAAGCATTCCTTCCATCTCTGGTCGGAACTCTATTTGCATGTATTAGCTCTAGAATTACCACAGTTATCCAAGTAATGTGGGTACGATCTAAGGAACCATAACTGATGTAATGAGCCATTCGCGGTTTCACCTTAATGTGGCTTGCACTAAGACATGCATGGCTTAATCTTTGAGACAAGCATATACTACTGGCAGGATCAACCAGGGTGCTATATATATAATAGCATAGTGCGTAAATGTCCCTCGGCGTCACCCGAGAGACCACACTTTGTATAGAAAAGTTCGATGAATATTTCTAAACAACGAATTTTCTTACATATATATATCTGAGTCGTATGATATTCCCTGAACATAACGAACAGTTTACATCGCGACTTGATATTTTATATATTCTGCGCTTATACAGAGGCTAGACCTTTAACAACCGTCGAAACGGCGGTCCGTACATGAAATTTGCGGTCCGCAGACCCAGTTAATTTCAAACAGTCTCTTTACCCTTCGTTAGATTGAAAACGTCGGGGCGAATTCATTATAAGAATTCATCGTTATAACTAACTTTTATTCTCGCTCGGAGAGTATTGAGTTGATTGCATTTGTATATTTTATTTTCCGCATAAGAGTCTTTGCGTCAACGACACATGCCCGCGAATATGCTGTACAGTATGGTTGAACACTTATAAATAAGGTCCAGAACCCGGCCGTAAACCGACATCCGAACATATACGGCGTATATTATTCTAGACACGGTCTACGACAGTTTGACCTGCAGCGACGGGTCGCCTCGGGTTACCGTGCGAACCATCACCGCGATGGTCTGGACAGGCTATATGGCGGGTCGCAAGAAAATAAATTCTCTAGGACGCGCAACCACTTTAGCAATTTTAGAGCACGTTGTGGTCCAAAAACAAACGTCCTCGCTTTAAAATTGAAATATGAATATTTCACTGTGTGTGAGATTGAAAATCTGCTTTCGCTGATTTTTCATTTTCTTAAAACAACGCAATGAAGCGAATGTTCAAATTCGCACAATTTGAATAAAATGTGCAGAGTATATAGAATACTAACGCAAGCGTTTACTACAATCGACTTTAAAACACTAGACTTTCATCTAGCGCCCAAAGAATTGATTGAGCTATGCGTTTAAAGTATAATATTCAAAAAGAACGCCGTTTTCACAACGAACTTCGTCATTCGCTCAGGCATCTGGCGATACCGAGCAGATATACATGGCAGTGCTCTCACACAATGCATAAGAGCGCTAAGCGGTTGTAAACTGCGTCACGCTGCTTTTGCACACTGCGCAATATTTTGCGACTAGCTCCGGTCAAACGTTAATGAAACGAATGATCATTGCCAGAAGCTTCTGCCCACAGTATATTATACTATAGGAGCGCACTTGATTACAGCAATAATTTGTCGAGTAATCACAAGATTTCATATTTGTGGTCAGCAGACCCAAATAATTTTAACTCGCACCGATCGAACGTTCATAAATGAATGATCCTCGGTGCGAGAAGCTTTGTCAGTTCTGCTGCACCACCCATCTATTTGACTTTAGTCCATTTGTAAAATCCTATATTATTAAAATATATAGATTTTATATTTGCGGTCCGCAGACCCAAATAATTTCAACTCGCTCCGATCAAACGTTCATAAGACGAAAGACCATCGCTGCGAGAAGCTTTGCTAGTTCTGCTACATTCACATATATTTGACCGTAGTCAATTTGTAAAATCTTATATTATTAAAATATATAAATTTTATATTTGCGGTCCGCAGACCCAAATAATTTCAACTCGCTCCGATCAAACGTTCATAAAACGAAAGACCATCGCTGCGAGAAGCTTTGCTAGTTCTGCTACATTCACATATATTTGACCGTAGTCAATTTGTAAAATCTTATATTATTAAAATATATAGATTTCATATTTGCGGTCCGCAGACCCAAATAATTTCAACTCTCTCTGATCGAACGTTTAAAAACGAATGATCCTTCCACCAGTTATCTATAGCCGCAAACCAGCATCCGAATATATACGGGGTATATAATTCTAGATATGGCTGGCTCACAACATTATTAAAAGTTACGCTAATATATCATTGACAGACTAAAAGTATCGAATATGATGTAAAAACTACACCGAGGAATGATATCCGTACCCGCCTGAACAACATAGCGTACTTTACTTTCACGGTGTGAATCGTCAAGACAAAAGTCTGGGAAAATTTCGAACTGTAAACCCTTATAATAGAAATTTTTTTTTCGAAAATTTTGTTAGATGTTCAAACAGTTTTATATATATGGATAATATGAATTAAAGTTAATTATTGAGTTTTTAGATGTTTTTTTGGGTTTTTTTAAAGTTTTGTATAAAAATATGTATTTATTGATTTTTATAGATCTCAATGAATATAAAACGAATTTATATATAGTTATATTATTTTTTATAATTATTTGTTTAAATTTTCAAATTTTACAATAAATGTTCAAACCAGTTTTCCTCGATTTTCTCTTAAACGGTAAAAGATACGAAAAAACTTTGTTCGTACGAAAGATGCAGAATAAAATTACGAATAAAATGGTATAT